AGAATTCAGATAACTGTACAGCACATGTTAAAGCTGGTACTATTCTCAACTGTAAAATATCACTGTACCTGAGAATATCATATTAGCTTGAACAACAAAGCAAAGCTTTATAGAAACATAAATACTCCAACAGCTAGTAAAATCAAATAAACTAATTAAAATTAATAATGAAAGAAAAATATATCTACTTTTTTACAACAGCAAATAAAAGTTCAAAATAAATAAAAGTAATAAAACAGGATATAGAATTAAACTGAATATGGGACATAAAATCATAAAACAAGTAGAACTGAAACTTAAAGTGGATTTAAACAGGAATGATAGAGTGAAAATAAGAGCCCAGTAAAAAGATAAATAGAAAATCTGAAAATAAGCTGTACGTGAAGAATTGATCAATATAAAACTAAACATAAAATGAAAACACATAATGAGGAAATATCAAAGTAAATATAAAAACAGAATTGACACACTCCAAAAGAAATCATAAAAAAAGATCAGTTTGAAATTGAAACTAAAAAAATGGCAGCTAGTCACAACTTCAAATTTTGCATATAAATAATGATTTAAAAAATCATTAAGTTAAATGGAATATAACTATTATAAATAAAGCTAAGTAAAAAAATGGAATAAAATAGTGTAACCAATTCAATAAGAGGTATCATGTATGAAACTAAATCAAGAATCACAACACACACACCAAAATTAAACATGGTGACAAGTAACAATATGAAATATTCTAATGTAGTCCACAATCATTAAAGTGTCAAGTTCTTTAATAATGTGTTCAGTTAAGAAAGTTATAAATCATGATGTTGTGCACATAGCAATCATTACATAGTGTAGTTTACTTTCCACGACCTTACCACTTCAGATCAAGAATCACCAAAAACAGCTACCAATTGTGTTTTGTTAAATTTAGTACAATTTAATACCTCTGACACACTATATCAAAACATTTATCCACCACCAGCAGGTAATAAAGTTAAACAATCATATGAAAAATAATGATCAGTTATTAGGTGTTCATAGAAACATGGTGGGATGCACACAGAACAGCAGTGAATTTTTAATACCCAACATTTAAAACTAACAACACATTGATTTTTGGAATTGTATTTGGATATAATTTTCCAGGATGTAAGAAATGTTCGCTTCTGGAACAGCTTTGTTCATATAGTTATTTACAAATTTATTTTTCCTTTACATTGTAGTCTAGTCCCAAATAAACTTCATACAAATTACATGTTTTGTTTAATTCGGTACCAATTTCTGATCAGTGTAACTCTGCTCCAGAAACAAAAACTGTGGCTTAACACTGAAGAAATTCACCAAACATGTATATTGATTTCATTCCATATATGAAATTGCTCTCTTCCTCTAGGTTGTTTGTTTTGTCATAACTAAGTTTTATAATAAATGTTTTGGAAATGTGTGGAAAACATTTAATTTGAGAGCAGCACTGTAATCAACAATAACAATAAAAAAAAAAAAACTGATCTAAATGCCAACTTTGGTCACTTGATGACTACTGTAGTTGATATATAAATTATCAGAGACTGAGACCATCTTCAGGGAAACAAAATATTTTAATACATGTGCTACATGTAAATAGTTCCCTAAGTTTATAACATATAATGAACAGTATAATGTTGGACAAGACAAACTACACTGCAATCAAGGAATGCAGACTTAATTTGCTAGTACACTATCTTTTCTACAAACCTTGTATTAAATATAGTTAGCAGTGACTGATACATAAATAATACAGACCCAACTTCACTATATTGTAATGCATGCACATATTACACGGAATACCATATCATAATAATTCCACAATTATACTAATTTTTTGTTTTCATCTTGGAAAAATTTTATTTTAACTTACTTTAATATAAGCTGAATATTCCAGTTAGCACTGAAAACATTATGAAACAATTGTTTAGATCATATAACCCATCAGAAGTTATACAACAGTGTATTATCTTAACAAATAGGCAAGTTCAAGTGATACATATTTAGTATAAACTTAGCCATCTAAAAAAATCAAAATAAAAGCCTCAACATTATAGAAGAGTAAGAAAGATCAACAGATTATGCAATAACTTACTTTGAAAAATTTGCTAACTACGTTATTTCTTTTGTTACAAAAATTTAAACCACAGCAGCAACAAAATAAATCTTCAGTTTGTTAGAGTAAATGCACACTTTTCTATAACACAGTTGCAAAAATTTAAACCACAGCAGCAACAAAATAAATCTTCAGTTTGTTAGAGTAAATGCACACTTTTCTATAACACAGTTGCAATATCAATACTTCATAGGTAATAAAGCCTATCAAAAAATGTATGCAGTATAGTGCTTTTCTAACATTTACACATTCACCACATGTACAGCACAGAATACAGTATATGGTCATTTCAGTGTTTATTAAATTAATTATTTGTACCATCTAACTTTATTGTTAAATCTGAAATAGGTACATAGTGTCTTCTTATACGTTAACTTGCTAAAACAAAAACTATATTCATTCTGTATTGATACATGTAAAGACCAGAAATGTTTAACTCTCTCAAAGTGTGCATGTCACAATGTTTTAGTTATTTTCAAAATTTAATTAAAGAACTTCATAATCATTGTACATCAATAAAATTGGCATCACAACATACTTTATAATTCATATTTTAATAATGTTTATTTTTTTATTCAAAATAAAATATTTAAAAAATGCCAAATATGCTTTTTTGTGTGTGTGTCATGTATTCTTGTCTTATTGCTCAGTTTATACTATATTATGCCCACTATACAATGTCTATAATGGTTAATGAACAGGAAACTCAACCATCAGATATTTGTAAGCTAGAATACAAAATAAAAACCTCCCATCTTTTTGATTTGCTTAGATATCAGTATATTTTGCAAACCTACACGGAAAGCTCCACCCACTACTCCATTCTTTTGAAACCTCTTGTCTACTCACGACTACTTCTCTCAAGTACGCATTTATAACTAACAGAAAAAGCACATTCCAAGCTATGTAAATCTGATGGTTGTTTGTAATTAACTCGAAGGGGAAACTTGTATTGGACTGGAAATTTTGAAGTCTGTTAAGTAAGTCATTGCTCTGAACAGAAATTATATTTTCTTAACCCACATATAGCTTAGTTGGAAAGCCAGATAACTGATAGTAGTTTTGTGTGTACCAGTACATTAATTTGATAATTTCTTGGTTTTCTAAACTGCATCTTTGCAATCTACAAAAATTAATTTGTTTTCCCCTCCACTTGAGAAGATAAATGAGGCTTATGTACAAGAAATAATTATTTTTACATATACTTTTTTATTTATTGTTGTAAAAAAAATAACTAAAAATTAAGCATTTATGAGTAAATAGTATATAATATATATATATATATATATACATGTTCAAAAAGCACTTGCACACTTTTACTGCTGAATTCTGACCACCCTGGGATGATAACTAACATCCACATACCTGCAAAGTTTATTGGATTGACCTGGATTTTGTAGAGAATCATATCATAAGCATTTTCATGCACTTTTATTACTTTAGACAATTCTCCTTACAACCACTGTACTGTAAACGAGCCGATAAATCATCTCCCACTGTGTTCTTGAAGCAGGGATTACGATAAACTCTGTGGGAAAGTTCTGGTAATTGCATCGCACAAGCTTATTTCTACTGACAATGTTGTATGATGGTGTCACATAAACAGTCTAATGGCAAAAATGGTGATTTATTCTACTTCAACTGCTAAAAGTCAAATAAACATATGAAATAGATATGAAAAGGTTAGAAGTAGAAACTCTAAGGGAGGGTATTTTGGAACTTCATGGTCAACACTAAAGAGAATAGAATAGTACTATTCACTTTATTTTGCATTTTTCAACGTTTAAAATTTTATGGTGGTTATGAGGGAGGTCAAATTGATGGACACTGTATGGAGTTAGGATAGAAAAAATAACAGGTAAAATACAAAAATTTACTGAAAAAACAATTTGATATTTATTTAGGAGGTTTTAGAGATTTATGCAAAAATTTTAAGATGAAGAACAGTATCTTTAAACTTAACATGAAAATCACTTTACATTCAGAGCAGTTAACACTCTCACTCCATATATTCAGGACAAATTTTTAGTAAAATTACTTAATCAAATATTCAAATTTTTTGTCTACAAAAGACTTGTAATATTTACTGACAGCTTGCAAAATTTCATGAAGATGCAAAAGCACACTGAGAGCTATAATATGGAGAGAGAGAGAAAAGAAGAAGAAAGAATAAAAAAAGAGGCCCAGTTTAAACTTTTTCGTTTTCTAAAGTGAGATGTGCAAGTACAGCAATTGTACAGTGGTCCATACATTGTTAAAATATGTTTTAAACAAATATGTAGTAATTTTTAATGGTATTTAACTACTAGAACTCATATATAATCAACTGAACCTTTTAACAAATACAAAGATTAAGCAATTCTTGAACTAACTACTATAATTTTCATCTTGCTCTGCTCAGTTATTAACACATCAAATTGCCATATATAAAAATGATATTATTAAAAAGTATATTTAAATAATGGAAGACAAAAAAAAAGAGAGAAATAACATTTGTTACAAATACACAATGTCCAAACATTTTAAAGTTAAACCACAGGAAACATAATTGGAGACATTATTACATTTTTTCATGCTTGTAATTATATGCACTTTATTTCTGTAATGACTTTTTTTATAGATATTCTATATGAAGTAGGTTTTTGATTAGTGATCAGGAAAACATTGTTAGAAAATTAGATTAAAATAGGTACATTTAATGTACCTTTCAATGAATTGAAGGCTTCAGTTCTAATAAGCTTTTAAAATTTATCATCTTTTTCTTTGATACTGAAACTTCAATAGCAGTTGTATAAACCAATTATGACAGCATTTCATAGTTTTGATTATTAATTCCTTAACAATCAATCTATAGTGTACAACTGTTAGCATCCACTTCATCAAACTTGGTCACTTAGGAATATCTTCTACCTTTCAATAAGCTGTCTTCCTTTGTATACTTAACAATAGTGACATGTTTCTATTTGTATTAAATGTCAAGTAACAAAAAAACATTATTGATAATTAATTATGTACCTCTTTAAGCTTGTAAATTGCTATATTATGAGTATTCCTTAGATGGACCTGCATGTTTCCAAACTGTATGAAGCCTTTTCCACATTCTGTGCATTTGAAAGGATATTCATGAGTGTGTTGAGCAATTTCATGGTCTTGAAGAGCACTGCTGCATTTAAAGCTTTTGCTGCAATGGGTACATTTGTACGGCTTCTCTCCTGTATGGGTCCTTTGGTGACGAGTTAGAACATTATGATAAGCAAATGTTTTTTCACAGTAAGGGCAGCGGTATGGTTTCTCTTTGTTGTGGATTCTCATGTGTATGTTTAAGTGTGAACGCTGTGAGAATTTTTTACCACAAACATCACAACCAAAAGGTTTTTCTCCTGTGTGAGTAAGCACATGTTTACGTAACCTACCCCGTTCGGTAAATCGTTTTCCACAAAGGTTACACTGATGTGGTCGTTCATTTGTGTGAACTACAGTATGGTTTCGCATATCTGATGACCTATTTGTAGAATATTTACAATGAGGGCATTTAAAGCGTCGGTCTTCTGTTTCATTTCGATGTATTTTTTTATGTCCTTCTAACATTTTCATGGATGTAAACAGTTTGCCACACTTTTCACAGGAGTAGGAATCTTTACATAAAGTTTCTTCTGTTTCTTCTTCTTGTTTTTGCGTTTCAAAAGATGTAGAAGGAATGTTTGGATTGTTGGGATCATGTTTTGCTATGTAATGTTTCATAAGGTTATTTGTGCAAGAAAAACCTCTATCACACACAGAGCAGTGAAAACGTTTGCCTCCTGCATTATTGATCTTTCTTACAACTATTTCGTGGCTATGAAGTTTAACATTTTCACATGACTGTGAATTTGGAATACTTTTTAGATGAGCTCTCATGTGGGTAGCTAGACCAGAGCCTTTTCTGTACATTTTGTCACAAAGACTGCACTTTTCTAGTTGAATATCACCATGAAATTTCTGATGTTGACGAAGGTTGAATTGTGCTTTGAACCCTTTCCCACATTCCAAGCACTTGAATGGTCGTTCATCCTCTTGGTGAATGGCTAGGTGAGTTGAAAGTTCAGAGTTGTTTTTAGCAGAAAAATTACATTGAGTACAATGATACTTCTCAGAACTTGAAAAATTATGTTGTTTCTTATGGGTCATTAAAGAATCCTCTGAAGTAAACGATTTTTCACAAAACTGACATTTGTATATTTCAGATCCAGATACAAGCTGTTCACCTATATCTTTTGTTCCTTTATCCTCCTCCTCCTGATTTTCATCTTTTTGAATATTATTCTGAGACTGATCTCCTATTAGTTCCTCAAGTGGTATTTCACAATTTGCACTATCTTTATCATTATAGCTGTTACTACAGATCATGTGATTCTCATCCTCATCCCTGCTAATGTCTTCATCACTAAAACTTTTTGTGTTCATCAAATTTTCTTCATTAGATAAAGCATGAAAAACTTTATCATTTTCCTTTTTACTCACTTCTTTTCTTTTATCTATAATGCAATGCAGAGATAGAACAAAAAATATACACACATTTCTAAACATTTAAAAGAAATACACATAGTACTGTGTGCTCTTTTTACATCAGATAAACTTTGGTGATAAACTAAAAAACATTACATTATGTTTAAACCTAAGCTTGTTTTGTTTTCTTTAAAGACATTACTTTATGATAATTTTTTTAGTTACTTACAACTTAAAAATAGAGATACTATATTAAGTTAGGTGTTCAATACTTAGCATGTGCATTTCTTTCATAACTTTAAATGCACCATTAATTATCTTTTTTTTTCGTTATGTTTAGAAACCTCTGCAATTAGTGGTTTGGAGATTGAGTTCTAAATTAATTTCTAGGATTCTTAATTATTCATTCTGATTTAAAGTACAAATTACAATACACAAACAAATAATACATTTTCACTAAAGCAAAATCTTAGTTACCTTTGTGATAGATTTCTGTGTGGGACATGAGGAAACTTGATGAGATAAACACTTTGCTACAGATTTCACATTTGACATTGAGAGATTCAGTTGGTTTCACACAGAAATCTTTGTTCTTATCCCAGCCATCACAAATTGTCTCACTGGTATTTGAAGACTGTGTTTCACTTGAAGAAATTTCTTCTACTAATGTGGTCATTTTCAGATTTTTAACCTCTTATGAGCATCAGTGTTCAAAATTTTGAATAGAACTTAGTAGAACTTCTAGAAGTATACAATTTACATTATCCCTAAAACAAGAACATATTTCAGTGAATATATATATTCTTTCAAATTCATGAAATTCTCTAAAACTATTAAAATATATTGTTCTTAACATTGATTCACTACGATTAATTTAATATCAGAATAAACATTAGTTTATAAACTATAACAGGAAGCCTAAGTGTTAGTAGTTCCAGGACTAATTACTCTGGGGTACAGCTTTTTACTGTAAAATACAGAAATGCACAATATCCAGTATTTTGCAATAACATAGCTATTACACAACTTCCAAGTTATCAGAAAGTAAAAGTACATTCAGGGGCTTGATTTCTTTTTAAGGGAGAAGAGACAAACACAAAATATTGATGAACAAGATAAAATATAAAAAAAATCTATGAATTTTAAAAAATGATGAGGCTCCTAAACCAGATGATATGCAGCCCCTATTAAAAATAAAAACAACAGTTTTTAAGAGGATGTTAGACATGATTAATACAAATCTATCAGCAACAGCAACTTAATATTTTTTATGAAATAACAACAATAAACACACACTTGTGCTTACTAAGTTTTTAAAATGAAACTAATTACACTGTTTGGCCAGCAGGCACCATTTGACAAGAAACAAATGAAGCCAAAAGTTACAAAACTGGTAAAACTGCCACATACTCAACTAAGCCTAGAAATTCAGACTTTTGACTATGCAGACATAAGTAAACTGTGCATAAAAAATGCTGCAGCTGCACAAGTACTTCGAATGTACATGTTGACACAATACAACACAAGGAGAAGCATATGGTGTTTGGCAGTAAGTTGTATGAATGCCAAAAATTAAGGGAACAATATTTATTTAGATTCCCTAAAGATCCAGAAAAGTATGTAACAAGAAATGTACAATTATATTGATAATGTAATATCTAATCAGATTTGTATTATGAGTACACAGTTTCTGTGCATGATTGCCCACCATATTGAATTACTTGTTATTATCTAATTAATGTTATATCTAGGCTTGGACTTGACAGTAAAATAAAAAGTATTCTTATTCTTTATGTTCAGTTCATTCCCTGACAGGTTTCTTTGTGTGATAATCAGCGTTATTTAACCTTAATCTGACACATATGTTACAGGATGAGTTTTTCTGGGTTCTAGCACTAACTTAGGCCTAAACTTTTGACACATACTGCACCTATTTTAGACACCATGACCTAAGTCTACACTTTAGACACTGATACAATTACTACAGACTCTTCATTTATATGTTATGCTTTTTATTTCTTATAAATCAAAGTCATATTATTAATGCATATATCCAAAAAATTTACTCTGACCCACTTATTTTGAAATATTGGTTCAAAAGAAATGGCATCCAAGCCCATTAAAATGGCTGAGAAAGCCACTAGGGGGACATTCTGAGCTTCCAATTGGTTATTCATGTCCTATATAGAAGTGTATATAAGAGAGTGTTTCCAAAAATGTAAAGAGGTGGGCAGGGTGCCACCGTGTTTGATTTATTATGAGCAATATCTTAGCAAATAGAAAAGACCTTCTTATTTTATATTTTAGCTTGTCAATATCAGTAATTTAAGTTTCTAATTCATACGAAACTATAGACTTCAAAAACATCTAATTTGAACCAGTGCTGCATTCAACATACCACATGACACATAAAAATCAATGTTTATCTGTGTTTCTTAATATTCATTTTTAAATTAAGAAATTGAGTAATGTATAGTACTAAAATTTGAATCATAATCTACAGTTTGATACCAAACTTATTGACACAAATTCATGAAATAGTAGTTCAATAAAATTTTGAATGCGAGTCAACAAACAAGATGA